AAGTAGCGGAGGCAAAGTTAGGATATATTTTAAGAATAAGTTTTAATTGTCTTAACACATGAGTGAATGTGGCTAAAGCTCTCTCGCGCAAACTCCACTTGCTTTATCACCAGTAACACAGTTGAGGGGGTAGCGCTGGGATCTCTTGGAGTCCTGCTTTTTCTTCTATGAGGGAGAAGCCAGGCTTGGGGTTCCCTGCCTGATTGTATATAGGTATGCCCGTTTTTTAATGTTTTTAATTTACTTATCTTTAGGTTATTTTATTTTTTATTGTACACAGTTTTTGATTAACTATTTGTTATTAAACTTTTGTTAATTTTATATTTTCTGTATATATGATGTGAATGTGTTCATATATCACTATAATTATTCTCCACGTGACAGGTTATTATATTTCTAAATAAATTTAAAAAAATTGTCTTAACAAATGATCTCATTCCACTGAATATTCTATTGCGCTGCCCACCTTTGTAACTTGTCACATATTCATAATCGGTCCATTAAACCGAATCTGTGTAATTGCTTCTCAAAAATGAATTGTGGCGCCGAATTCGTTCCCCTTTATATAAAGAATCGCTTCCAAATTAGTTGTTAACAAGGCAACAAAATGATATATTCACCATTCCCCGACTTAATTAGTCCGCCCAAGCAATAAAGAGATCCAATTAAGAATTCAGCATTCCTCGCCATTAATTTTAACAAAGGCGAGTCCCCTCGAGCTTTGCCGGACAGGGGTAAACACATAAGTCAATTTGAGCGGAGATATATTTAGGGACTTAATTAGGGATTATAGGGTGCAATATAGCGGGCTAATAGCCGGTGCAACTCCTCATTTGCATGGATCGGAATGTGGCTTTTCTTCATAATTTGCCGACCGGTTGGCCAAACGGCTCCTGGGCTTCGGTACAACGCCTCCTTGTATATCAACATCCCTCCCTCCCCGCCCTCCCGATACTTTACATTACAGCTCCTACTGATATATCGTCCCTCCTTTCATTTAAATATATAGAGCATCTCAAATGAATAAATTTTGTAACGACAACATTTTAAATAAACCTTGAATTTTATATCAGCAATTCTTCAGATGCCAACTCACTTGTAACGATTATGTCCAGTCATAACTATAAATTTTTCCTTCTGATATGGACTTAGCAATACTTGATATCCCCATGTACAGAGAATACGCAGTATAAATAAAATTGATCTAATACATTAATCTTGAAATGAAAGTGCGATTTAAATAGAATTTTCACTCTCTTCATCTATTCATCGGCTATATTAATTTATGAAATCAAATGCTAATATTGCTTTATTTATAGATAAGTAGAAATATCAAAATTATTATAATTTTGTTTCTTTTTATTTCTAAGATGAATTAAAACTCCTGTTTTCAATTTATTTATTTCAAATGCGTAAATACCTTACTATTTACTCTTTTGACTTGAGGAAGTTCTTAGTATATTTGACGTTATTTGACAGAATACTGAATCTTATTGTTAATGAACAGTCGGATGGTTTCCATTGGCGCAGTCTTTCAATTTTGATTGCGGGAAGAGGGAGCGATGAAGCAAAAAAAAAAAAAAAAAAAAATGGCGGAAGTTCATATTTCATGTACAAATTCAACATAATTATTGTGAAACGAACGAACATAATATCGGATATTTAAAAATAAATTTATACATATATGTTTAGAAAGTTGTAGGATTTTTTTTTTTTTTTTATATGCTTGTAGATATTAGTCCATGGTACAGACCTCTATTTATCGAATTATTAAGATCCACCTGAAACTTCGTAAATAGCTTCATTTCATCGTAACCTACAAATATTTTAATTACAACTATTATTAGGAAAACTCTTGGGATTGGGGCGTTTTCTATCTGGAGGGGATCAAACTTTGTCTATTTAATTAGGTACTAAAAACTCGTAAATACACATTTCATTTATACTTGAATCCTAAGATAATTTGATCACAAAATCGAGAAAAAATGTGGCCTTAAAAATATTGAGCCTTTTGGCGTGTCCTACACTCTCAAATTTTCAAAATAACGAGGTTATATATGATAAACTGCCCAATATTTTTTTAGGCCACCATTTTTATACATTTTGTGATTATTATCTATTTTGTTATATCAAATTATCTTACGATTCAAGTAGAAAGCAAATTTGTAGTTACGAGTTTTCAGTACCTAATTAAATAGACAAAGTTTGCCCTCCTCCAGATTGAAAACGCCCCAATTCTAAGAGTTTTCGTAAATAGTTGTAGGTTACGATGAAATGGAACTATTTACGAAGTTTCAGGCGGATGTTAATAATTCCATTAAAAGGGGTCTTTACAACGAATTATATACTTAGTAAAACAACTATAAATATTTGAATAAAACAATTAGATATAATGAAATTCGTCTACATTAAACATAAGAGGAAGGGCCTCAATAGAAGAAATGCCTCAATAGGATTTCTAGAACAGCTAAAAATGAACAGTGTTAAAAACTGAGAAATACTTTCAATATCTTAGTGTGTACAACCTCCAAATAAAAATAAAACGTTTCCACGGTCTGACTAGTTATGTAAAAATGTTTATAAAAACATTCTTTATAAAATATATTTATACTTGTACTTATTAAATATACTTTCTCCTGCTTCATCGTAGAATAACCGTAAGGAAATTATATGAATCATGGAATCCTAATATATGTTTCTATATTATTATAAATGAATATAAATGAAAATTTAAATTTAGACCATACATTCCGACTTATAGGCCTTAGCTTAACCTGCTGGTCGATTTCTCTTATTTTTTATAATCGATTTTAGTATATATATTTTATTCACTTATATAGCTTATTTGCAATAAATTTTATTTATTTTTTACTTCAAATTCTGGTGGGGGACCAAAACGATATTCACGTCCCCTCAACATTTTTATTTCTTGTCTTTCGACAATGCGGGATTCCATTTTATTGTACAAATTAATAAAATTTGAAATAACTTTTACTGCATTAAAATTATTATTTTATACTTTATTATATATGAAAAATATATGAATTTATTGTCGGGCAAATATTTTTGAAAAATTTATTGAGCCGTTTAACTAAAAAAATATGTAGGAAAGAATTTTTGTTGATTTATTAATCTCCTATCAGTCCATGTATGAAAACTTTTTCTGTCCAGTGTACATATACCAACAGTCATTAAATTTTAACCGTTTAAGAAAATATATTAATGTATTTTCAGAAGAGTCTTGAATATTTTTTTATTCATTTATCTCACCATACTATCATTTTCCTCTTTTCTACCCTTATTAATGTTTTCATATAGTAAAAAAAAAAAATTTCAGCCATTGGTCTGTCTGTGTCTTTTCCACAATTATCTCGGGAACGACTGAAATGATTTTGTTTTTTAATTTTTAGTTTTTAAGTTTCTGTTTTTTAGCGGCTGCGCAATAAAAGAAAATCATGTTTTTCCATAAACTGTAGTGAAAAACATGTAATATTCTACGTAAATTCCTTTGAATTTTCGTACATATAGTGAATTCTATAGAAAATTCATGAAAATAATTATAAATAAAATAAAATATTTTTGCGACTAACTCACCAAGTAGGTATCCATTTTATTATAAAACTTATAGCTTTTGATAGGTAATTAAATTCCCTACAGAACTTCGGATCAGTTTTAGCAATGTCACAGTGCATTAAATTTTATAGGCTGATTATTAAATTATCCTTTTTTTATGCGTATCCACTAATGGTTCACTGGCCCGTTTACATTGCTTTAGTTCATCAACGAAATCGTACTCTAATTATTTCTCTGATCGGTTATCAAGAAAATAAAACTTAAAAATAAAATAAATTGAGAGGATTCACCAGATAGTTTAAATAAAAATATCAATAATTCCATATACCTATATTTTTCCACCGTTCTTAGCAGCTGGTACTCTTGGTAATGTTTAACAGCCCCCCTCCTCTTAATGTTCTTATAGCTTACTTAAACAAAACAAGTTATAGTGTATATATAAAACTCGAATACATACATAGAGACATAGAATAGAAAATTATTGATTTTAAAAAGCATTCGATAAAATTTACCAGTAGCAGCAATACTTTACCTTAAAGTTATGAAAAACATTTATATAATGTGTTCAAACTTTTTATTGAGTGTGTTTCGGTCATAATAAATCATTATCGTGTGTTAACAAAAAAATATTTTTCTGTTCCTCGATGTTTTTGTTTTCTCTTGTCTCCCCCTCCCCCAAGGATGACGGTTTCATATTAAAGGGACAGAAATTAATAAAGGAAAATCTCAGATAGATAAATGGTTTTAAACTCTAAATTATTATGATAAGCAGTTAATTGTTAATACGATTCATAAATATTTGTATATGAAACACAATACTTACATAAAACAGCAATTTTTAAAAATTATTTTTATTAGATTTTCAGCTAACTTTTATTTTATTTTTGTTCTCCTCTTCCTCCCCTTTTAAGCTATACGGGGTTTTTCCGGGCCAGGGGATGAGGACGGAGGATTAATAACAGAGTTAAAAGTCCTCCCTCTCTCCGGGACCGGGATGCGAACTCGTAATTATTTTACCGTCTATAACTTAGGTTATCGGGTTGCCGGGCAACGCACAATGCTGGCCCACCTCGCTCCTCAGTTATCCTTTTGTATTATATTATGTTTTATTATCTTTCTAATTATTTAGGGATAGTTAGGGGTGGTTTCCTAATGTGAAGTCTATGCCTCCGCCCTAAAAAAATAGCGCTCTGGGCAAATGGCCATCATGTTCTTTTGTAAATTAGGGCATGTAGATGGATAATTTGTTGTTATTAAAACTTTCTATTCTTGTACTTTATTTTTTCTTAATTATTATAAAATACTATTAAGTGGTGTCTCTCATCGAATAATCCAACAAATTTTCCATCCTCAGCATTTCTTCCTTCAACTATAATACTCGAGGTATCATGCCTGAGTGATTTTGTATTGTTATTCATTGTCCTCGTATGGACTACATTTCGGCCCCCGTTGCCCCGTGCCAACCAGCCGCTTCACCTATTGACTCCTGGGCCGGTGGACAATGGGGCTGTTCCTCGCTCGTCCCCGGGACAAAAAACCTCCGTCCCTCTTCTACCCCCGGGCCTGGAGAGGACGAGGAGTGACCCAGGTCATGGGGCAGCCCGTTAGCCGAACAAAAACAATGTGGCGGCCGGTGGAATGTGGAACTGCCTTCTAAATTTAGTCTACGAGAGGGATCTTTGAACCTGGTGACGGGAAGGTAACGGGCCGGTTTTTATCCCGGCTTAACCTGATCCTCTCATTTACATGGCGCCCGGTAGCTGGCCACCAATTAGTAATCGGCGCCAACTCAGCCCCACATTATTTATCCACTCCCTCCTAGACCTTACCATCCACCACTTTTTTAACGGCCAATCGTTTTTTTTTTCTTCAACTTCTTTTTTCTCTTCGTGTATAATCAATTCTTCTTCGTTAATTAGCGGACGTCCAACTAGGAGCGGATTACAACCTGGTTATATTTATATTCAAAACCAGAAGCCCTGCCGCCCGGACCTGCTTATCAATACTGACTCCTTTACACAGGTAGCTTTGCATAAACAACATTTATTACACCTGGACCGGTCCATTTATAAGCAACAAGTGCTTCCTTAACTCATGATTCCCAGCCATAATTTCTCGGCTATTTTTAAAACAAGGAGATTATTTATATTGGAATGTGAATTGCATTATGAACCTTTCTCTCGCCATTTTATCGGGTGCTTCTTCTCATAAATTGGCTCGCATGATTTATGTTATCAAATGACAGGGAGGAATGCGATAAAGGCCTTAAGGAATAATATTGAGCTCTTATATAAATAAACTCATGAATAATTCAGAGATGGCTCTTATTCAAATATGTAGAACTTGTTTTATACAACATAAGCACGATACTTAAATAAAAAATTACTTTCTCTAGGTTGTACTAAGTGCATTATATTTATCCAAATAAATTTTATCTTTTGCAGTTTTACAGGACAGTTTGACACTTAAGGTTACATCGTAGGAATTCCAAGAATGTTTTTATTTAGCTAATTGCATATATATTATATGCATATATATTTATATATTATATTATACCTATATTAATTATACCTAGTAAATTCTATTAAATCGCGATAAATCTAAATATATACCATTTATTCTTCGGAAAAATGCCTACCCATCGGTTTATATTGACAGCAACCAAATTCCCCGAACGGCACGGTAGTTTATCTTGGACATACCTTCGACGGGAGTATGACATGTGAGCACGTTCAAATGAAACGAAAGACTTAATATGGGTGTCCATCCCCTCTACAAATAGATTGCGCACCCCTTCTCCCAAGCAAATTTATTGTTCTCACTTCTTGTTAAAAACAGTACGGATGAAAGTAGAATAAAAAAAAAATAGTACATATGTAATTACCATTGCATAGGCACCTATTTTCCCTTGCTTTCTATTTGAAAATTCCAAATTTTAACTCCACAAAAATGTTATTCTCTCCAAAAATTTATAGTCTCGTAAAAATGTGGCCCCTCAAAAATGTATAACCCCATAAAAATGCATTATTCTCAAAAATTTTGAATGTGCATCTTTTGCCATGGCCCCTTCTGGTCACAAATCGGACTTCTTAAAAAACGACTCAAACAACTTTACCCTTTTTTTTCCCATAACTGAAACTGAATTTACATACATACTGAATTCTTAAACCCATTTGGAAATATTCACAGAAATACGGTATCATCAAAAAGACCCACCTACAAAACTTTCAAACCTTACAATCAAAATAATTACGACTCATAACATAAGACTCTTGATATGTGGCCATCAAAACTTACTAACCTCCACCTTCCAACAGTTGATCAACTCATTACTACCATTTACCAACGATTTCATACAAATTTATACGAACATTAAAACAGTTAGGTAAGCGTCACGGCTACAGCTGATATACCACTGAATACGAGGAGGAAGCTAAAAAGAGCGCTGGATGAGAGATCCTTAAACAGACAAAGTAATTGAATCAAGTCTGGTAAGAGGTACAACTGGGTATTGGCCTTCCCCATGTCATTATTTCCTGTTGGCTTCAAATAAATTGATTTCAATGTTTATATGGATATCGTCTCATATGTAAAATATTTATGTATTACTCATCAGGCCTTCCTTATAACCCTATCGGTCCGAAGGAACTTTAGGTTTATGTAGTTGCATAACTACATAAACATATCGTGTGTTGTTAGTGAAGTTGACTACATTTCCTCTACATGTTATGGCTGCTTGCAAGTACAATCTGTCGATGCTAACGTACAAGAATGCTACTTGACTCTGTGCAAGATAGAAATCTTGCCCAAACTTGCCCCCTAAAGATATTTTAACTTTCCTATATAATGCAATTAACACCCGACTTCTCTTTTTAGCTGATCCTTCAGATACCATATTTATTTTTTTAATATAAATAATTTTTTCTAGTTATTGTACATTCGAAAATGTTGAACACATGTCCCCTAGATCGTTCCAAAGACCCGGAAAAACAGTATAATACCTCAATATATATATATAATTTATATAGTTTTCGTAATTTTTAAATCCTACTATTCTGTATCTAAAAAAGGAAATAAACTTCGGTTTTATTTATTTTTTCTGTATATATATATATATATATATATATATATATATATATATATATATATATATATATAAAAGGCTCAATATTTTAATAACCTTAGGTAACTTAAAAGTCCAAATATTTTCGTGGTTGTTAGAAGAAAACCATGATTAGAAAATAAGAATTATGTGCTAGATAAATTTTAATATAGCAAAGTTTTTTTGAATGCTGAAAACAAATATAAACTTGGTTTTATACTTGAAAATTTGTGTTGCCTACTTTACAAGACAAAACTATAAATAAATATCATTTTTAAAATTATTATTTTTGTTCTTGGCTCTAGGTATTTATTGAAAGGAATAAATGCAGCATACCAAAAAAATAAATAAAAATACAATGACGGTAAATAAAGTAAAATAACCTTTTACACATGGGTATAAATATGTACACTATTTACAATCAATCGGAGAAACTCCGAACAAGGCTGTTGATGGAAAACAGGACTACTGGAGATACCAGCGATTTTTTTCTCAACTCTGTCACTGGTATTACACACGCACTAATTGAAATTGAGCTATGTCTTTATTGCCGTCGCTGGAGCATATTAATAAGTTGAAAAGCAATCCACTGTAAAAACTTCAATATTTACAAAAGAAGACGTGATCTCAGCCGTTTCAATTTTCGAGAAGGATCCTAGAGATGGTTGGACTAAGATAGGCACTGTGCTAGAGGATTTGGATGATGTGTAAGGCTTTGGTGGCATATGGATAATTTATCTGGGGTAAAGACAAATAGGATTTTTTCATGGTAGAGGATTTCATTGGTTAGATAGAATTGAGCATTGACTATTGTTCGAAGGATTTGAAATGTTAAACTTTTAATTTGTGACTTTCAAAAAAATTTTAAAGCTATAAGCCTTGATACAAATAGTATATGTAGTAAATCTGTTGAGTATAAATGAATCCAGATTATATGGAAACGACTAATTAAAAATGAATTATAATTAAAGCTCTAGGAATTGCAAAATATGGAGCGTCCTAGCATTGTAAGGAGGGAAAAGAGCCTCACTACATCGATAGGCTTTTTTATTTGATTTATAATACTTAAACTATATCTGAAGTTGGGTAAGAAATAATAGATTATTAATACTGAACCGCCAACTTCAGAAAATTATTCAGTGTTAATAAAATATTCCTTTTAAAACAGGTACCGTTTTATCATCCCCAATAACATGGTGCTCTGAAGTGTAGTAGGATAAAGCAGTTTTTTTACAGTAGGTATTTTAAAAAATTAAGGGCCAAGTTTATGTCTTTCCAAAGTTAAATCCTGGTATCTACCAACACATAAATCTTTTTTAGATCTGAAGTATCAGTTACTTTAGCTACCAGTAGTTGTTTTTTTGCTTGTATTTGTTTTTTATGTTGGTAGACATTCCGATGTAAATTCCAGCCCGATAGTCGTACGATCACTGTTGTACACTGTTCCTAAACATTTGTTCTCACTCTAAACTGTAAATGAAATCGTCAATGAGAAGGCTACACGGTTATTATTTAAGCTAATCATAAGGAACCAATACATTACTTCACCAGGAATCTCTATTTACTTCCCTTTACCAAGCCTTTTAACAGCTTACTTTCAATTCCAAATTCCATTCACCCTGACAACGTAACGTTAATTTCCCAATAATGGTTATTTGATGTCAAACTAGTGGCACAGTGAGCCTAAAATACTAACAATATAATTTTTTCTACAGATTGAAAATTATAATAGCTGCTGTAAGGAATAGATCTAAGAAGATTGATAGTGACCAGCAGATCTAAGCAGGGGCAGATTGATAGTGCGATGAAAAAAATCTTGAAGTTATAGATAAACGTTTTAGGCGTTGTAAAACGTGTACATAGTTGACTGAATTCGGCTAATCGGAAATTACAGTTCTCTCTTCTTTTTTTTTCTATATTCCTTTTCCATGTTTTAACGAATAAAAATCAAAGTTTATTGAGCAATAAAATAATTTTTCTATCTATTGGTTACCATTTTTAAGTTTATGAACATTTAGTTATGTAAAAAAATGAGGTTATTGATACCCTGTCAAGTACTTTTGTTTTCAGCCTAAATGACAACAATAAATTATTGTGGAGTTATAATTTATTTTTTCGATGACCTGTGATTTATTATAATAAATATAACCGAATAAATAAATACACTTCGTCTATATTAACAAAAACGTAAATATTCGTTTGTTCACAACTGATAATCTCCAAAACTTCATCACCGATCGCATTGAAATATTGACATGATGTTTCTATCGCATTCAGGAGTGTTTTTATATACATTTAATCACCCTCCGGTCTTTTGTTTCGCAATGGCGGCCCAAAAACCTGTGTCACAATTGACTGTAACGCCTAAACGGCCGCAACGGTTATAATTATACTTGGCTAAAGTCCTTGAAGAGTATGAAAAAAAAGTTACGATGGGTTCAAAACTATATTTGCGAATAACTCCAAAAGTACGCAATTTTTGTTGGATTATACCCATCGTTATTTGGAAGCTTCCTTGATTTCCTGCAAATAAAAAAAAAAATCACTAAAATAGAACTATTTGGTGCAGAGATACAATGCTTGAAACATTTAGTAATTTTTCATGGGAGATTTAGAGACTGATTACTTCTTATATAGACAATTATATGTTGCAAATTCTTGAGTTGGAAAACCACACAATCACTATATCTATCTATACGAAGAATGGAACAAAGAATATCGCATATTCACAAGTATTGTTACATAAAATATGTTGTAAACATCTAATTTCTTTTATACTTCTTTTTTTTATTTAATCAGAATGAGCAACAGCAACGCGTGGCCGGGTCAGCTAGTATTAATGATAAAAATAATGATTGATAATTTTATTAAAAATAATGATTTTTCATCTAAAGTGATAATAGAACGTGTTTTTTTATTAAGATTTCTATTATTGATATTGATCCAAATTCATAAACAATAACTGTATTTATTCAATTAGGTTATGGAC